CCACTTCACCTTCACTCCCCCCCCCCTTGCTGCCTCTGTTTAAGATGAACCAATAAACCAAGGCTTATCAGTTAATCGTGTAGTGGACTATGCATTGACATCCCTTATATTTGCTCTTTGTTAATTTTGAACTTGCCTTGTCTCAGAATTCTTTTGTCCTTTCTGTAATTTCAGTCTTGTCTTTTGGCAACATTTTCAGATTGTTTGAGGGCTCCCTGCTTCAGTGTGTCTGATTATGGCTGCGTTTTGTTTTGTAAAATAATTGGGATTAAAATAATCATCCCTTTTTATCCTGTCTTTGGCCTGTCTTGTCTTTTGAAAGCCAGGAGATGTCTCTTGATATTTGTTCTGAACAGTGCTTAGCACAATGGAATGCTTGTTTTGCCTGAAACCTGTAGGTGCTATTTAAATACATGTAACAAGTTAAGTAAATTAATATTGGTTGGTGTTAATGATACGTTTTATGAGTCTATGGACACAAATCGAATGTACTTTATAAACATATAATGTATAGGGCTAATACAGTAGGTACAGAGACTGAATTTTGCAACCAAGATGCATCTGCAGATATGATAACTGCACAAACCATGCAAGTTACGTAGTTAGGCACCAGCATGTCAGTTTTGATGCACATTTACTCATTTTGTGCTCCTACTCATTTGCTGCCAGTGTCCTTACAACCCCTGTAGAATTCCTGTGCTCACACCTTCGTCAGGTGCATGCATACATTGGTCTTCTATTTATGTCAAATCTTATTTCTCTGCTGATCCTCAGTCTGTCAAACTAGGGTTCTTAGTTCTATATTTTTCCCCCCGGGTAGTCCCATGTTCAGTTGCTGCTCTGAGTTGAAAATAGCTTATCCTCAAATGAACCCAAGAACCATTTGTCCTACTTCTTGCAGTGCTTCCTTTCCAGAAAAATCCAGCAATGGGAGCCATCTTGTCACTTTAAAGACAGCTACTAAACTATGAAACCACCTGAGTTTTGTTCCACATCCCACTGTAATAGAGTGCAGTGCTTTGACGCTAATGCCTGTTGTAGGGAGACTGACTCAGTATGAGTGAAACAAACCAGTTTTACAGTCTCTTTACAGTGTGGAGAAGAGGTGGTGATAAATATCCCCCCCCCCCAACCCAAACATTCCATGTGAGGCAAAGTCAATATTAAGAGGAATGAGGTGGTGGGTCTGCCCCAATCAGTTTAGCTTGGAGGCAGTGTCCTGTGGAAAAATGTAGTGGCTTAGCCTGCTTCCTCCTCCTCCTCTTTAGTTATTAGTTTATGGAGTTGCTCCTTTAGACATCTCTGCTTTTTTGCAGGGAGGAGTGAGGAAGATGCAATAGAGCCGTGAGTTGCTGAGGAGGATCTCCTCTTATGATCAGTGGTCCCTGCCCTTTGAAACGCCACTGTCATTTTCAGCATAACGGGACAGGGAGGCCGAGTCTGCACCAGTGTCGTATGTATCGTGCAATGCAGTGCACTCGGGAGGGGGGGAAGAAGGGGGACGACTGACAAACCTCTTAATTCTCTGATTTCCACAGCAGCTTTCGTTCCAGTTGCTATAGCAGCAAGAGCTTCCCTTTCCAGATAGTGGCAGGGCATGTGTGACCATTTCTCTCCGATACCGGGTTCGTCACACGTACCCGTCCTTTGTCACCTCAAGATTAGGTGCTGTAGGTGGTAGGGGTGACTGGCGCCTGCGGGGAGAGGTGGTGCAGAGATGCAACCTGAGAGAGCATGAAGAGGCACCCAGTTAGTAATTACAATTTTGGCGGGGGCATAGAGGGATGGTGAACCTTCTGGGTGCTACTACGTAGGTGGGGCTACTCCTAGGGCCCAGCTGAAAGTTGAAGCTGGTGCAGAATGCTGCAGCACTTGATGTCCCTCTGCTGTGTATATTGAGAAAACCAGACCGTCTCTGTGCCAAAGGATAAATGGACACAAATCTGACATCAGGGATGGTAATTCACATAAACCTGTAGGGGAACTTTTTAACCTAGCTAGATACTCAACCATGGATTTAAAAGTAGCCATTCTCCTACAAATTACACAAAGAGACTGCAGAACTAGAATTAATTTTAATTTACAAATTTGACACTGTTCCCCTGGGCTTGAATAAAAACATGACCTGGTTAACACACTACAAAGCCAATTTCTCCTTCCTTTGACATTCACATTTTCACATCAAAAGCTATGAATGGGGCACATCCAGCCCACTTAATTAGTTTCATTAACATGGGTCTTATTATTGACAGGTAATTGCTTTTGCTGTTATATATATCTTGGATTCTGTTATTTCTACTCCAAGTCATCTGATGAGGTAGGTTTTGCTCATGGAAAGGGCATGATCCTGTATATTTTTGTTAGTCTCTAAGGTGCCACAGGGCTATTAGTTTTTTAAGTTACAAATTAACCCAGCTACCCCGCTGAGATTTTTAATCCCTGAATCCCTAAAAGTTACTGGAGACTTCAGCTATATGTCACAGTGAGAAATGAGCACAGGTAATTGGGACAGAGCTTGCTCAGTCGAAATGAGAGGGAGCTGCTGGTGAGTTTCTCTGAGGAGTCTTCTGCATTGGAACTTGGTCCACAAACCCATCTTTGTCACCCTTGTGAGGGTATGAGTTGAGGTGGAGAAACTGATGAGCAGCTATTTCTCTATGATTATGTAACAATTTTATCATTTAACTGAATGCTGGATTAGTCCCTATAGATGTATTTTAAAAAACTGACGAGAGAAATAGCACCTATGGAGGTGCAGAAAGGTCACCAGAATCAGATGACATGGATGTTTCTGTGGGCAGGGAGAACTTGAAGCCCAAAGAAAGGCAACTCTCAATTCTAAACAGTCAAACAAGAGAAATTTAAGAGGAGCGATAGGTTCTATCTGAGCTCTTGGCCTCTTCTCTGCAACCTTCAGTCAGAAGGGATCCCATATCTTGTAAATGGCCTGTTAGGATTGTAATGGATAATTACAAATACCTCAGGGTGCTGTTGAGATTGATAGTGAATCAACTATAACTCTCAATTTCCTGGACCTTTTGTGGCTTGATTTTCTTCAGGTGTGGATTAGTGCACCCCTCACTTTAATGGGTCTATAATTAGACTGGGATTTCTTCCTTACAATTATCGTTTGACACACATGCTTGTTGTAAATTAGAAAGTGACTTTATGCAGAACTGAAAAGAGAGAAATCCAGGCTGTGGAGTGTGTTTACCATTCAGTGATAGTGTTTCTATAAACTGTGTTTGTTCAGCAAAAAGAACTTTTCTACACAGCTGGAATGTTAAATTTAACAATGTTGTAATGGGCAGCCAGAGAATGTTGCTTGTAGCCAGATTTTTAAAAAATCATCATAGAAGCCAAGGAGGTGCCAGGGAATCCATTCCATTGGAACATCTTTCAGTCTGAAATCTAATGAAAGGCCTTAAAAGTTTAGTAGTAATAGAACCATTCATTTACACTTTCATTGTAACCTCTGGAAAAGTTGTCCAATCTATGGTTTTTTATTTTGCATCTTATTGTTCAAAAGTCCTTCCTTTCTCTCTGACTCTGTCAGGAGATTGAAGACTGTTCTCTTTATTGCTTTATTTACGGAGACAGAATTGTAAACTAGTAACTTTTTTGGTTTGTTTCATGTAGATTATTGCAGCCTAGCACTCTCAGATGCTAACAGGCCACGTTAATTAGGGATGTGAGAGTTTAACCAGCTAACCGATAAATGGTGCTTATTGGTTCCAGTTATCCATTAAACTCCAGCAGGGCCAGTGGCGGCAGGCGCCAGTGGGTGTGGGACCAGCAGGTGGCTGGGCTGGTAGGTACCAGGAGCCAATGGCGCTGGCAGCAGTTAACTATATAACCAATTGAATTGTAATCAGTTACACAGTTAACATTTGTAACCATTTTTTGCAGTCCTAATATGGATATGATGTAGGTGGCCGTAATGTAAGGGCATTCCAGCCTGATACCTGTATGACAGTTAGCATAATCAAATCCTGCCTGTTCATAAGGAATTAACTCATTGATGACCTTCTGTCTCACGATGTGTACTACAGTAGTACATGATAGAAAAAGGTAAAATGAGGAACTGCTTACTTACGCTTTTGGGGTTTTAGAGAAAGTTTGAAGGACATTGAGTTTAATCAGGACTTGCATGTATTAATTGTAGCTATGCCTTGGGAACTAGTTGATTTAAATGTGAATAACAATGAGATTAATTAACCTATAGATGTTAGGAACCTCAGTATTACTGAGGTATGGAAGCATGGGGCTGAAACCATAATTAAATATATACAAGGCCAATGGGCGTTAGCCTAAATCATTATAAAAGTTGATACCCAGGCTGTGGGAGACATTGGGAAACACTGACCTGATGACTACATGAAAGTCAACTCACCTGCATTGAGAGTCCCTGAAGAGGGATGATGCGAATAATGGCTGTAGTACCAGATATTCGATATTGGCACTATTGCCTTTGTACACTACAGGGGATGTGATTCTGTTTGGTTGTGCTAATACATTTGATAATTCTTTTTCTTTTCCTGTCCAAATGACTGTGTGGTATTGCTGTCCACTGCCGGATCTCTGAGCAGTGTATTACTGTGGTAGATACGTTCTTCATCTTCTCTCTGTCTCATATCGTATCAAGATTGTAAAACACTGTGCAGTCCTTTGGGATAAAAGATCCTATGTGTAAGATATTATGGCAAATATTTTCCTCACTCATTTTAGTGAAATAAACATTTCTATTCATAAGGACTTATATCATGCCATCTTACTTTTAATGTCACTTAGCTATCACATTACTTAATGCTTTCTGAAAAACCTAAATTAACGGAAGGACATGTCCATGGAATGCTGGATTTCAGTTCTTGTGAGTTTTCTATGTTATATCTCAATCTTTGTCTCCCCAGAATTATATGGTTGAATTTTTCACTGATTGATTGTTCATTTAAAACTCTTCATTGTTTTTTTGTTTTGGTTTGGTTTTTTTTCCTTCTCAGAAGTACACGGCCATTGGGGAACTGGGAAAAGCAACTGATACGTTAGATGCTACAGGAAAAGTAACTGAAGAAAAGCCTTATGGTAACTTTACTATAATCTATACCTTTGATTTAATTAGAGTGAAATGAATGGTCTATATATTACCAAAATGAAGGAGAGATTTGGGACTTCATACTCTTAACTGTTCCAGGATTGCATTTGAGGGAAAGCAAAACTGACCTGCAGCAACTGTTAAAATAAAAATACCTTCTCAGGGACAAGATGATTTAGCTCTTTGGCGCTTTGTGTCTCATACAATACTAAGAGTTAAATTTCTGTACCAAATTGCATGATTATTTCAGCTTTAACCGAACTGCCTAAGATCTCACAATTGGGATGAGCCCACTGGTTGATTTCAGTTATTTAAAGAAACTAGCTGTATTATTTTTTTCTTCGGTGTATTGGCATCATCAATAAAATTTTCATCCTTCAGTGCAAAATCCCACGAGGGATGACTTTTTTAATGATATCCTTCCAACCCAGAAGGAAAGAAATACTTCAATCTCCCCTCCAAATATCCCCTTTAAGTACAGGCTTCTTTATTTTAAAATGGGGCTAGCATAGACTCATCTTTTCACATTTTCTGCTGTTGACACTGTCTTTCTTTTGCCGGCTGGCTCCTAGCAATCTAAATAAATGAGCCTCTCACATACAAAGACCACGGTGTATAGGTTTGACAGTTTTGAACTGATTCTATTTACTGCTTTGTCAGTTCACACGTTCTGGAGTGAATTCACAGATAGGGTAAAGAAAGCACTGTCTCTCTGAGAAATAATGCAGGATTAATTGGGAACCCACCTGAAAGTGTCTGCCATTAATTCTTTTGCAACCTAAAGAGTATGCTATAGGTAGCCGGTCTCCTAGCAACTCTTACAGGTCTCACTCTTTTTGTGATTCTTAGCAATAGGTAAATACAGTAAAAATACCTTTCATTATCTTGTGATGGAGAAGGTATGCCGAATGTTTTCCTCTCTCCTCTTGCTTGTAATTTTTCTCCTTCCATTTGGCATAGGCAAGCATCAGTCCCAGTCTCACCCTGAACTGTGTTGCCAATATCTTTTTGATTGCTTGGTGCTGCTTCGAGAACTTGATCACTTTGCCTCTTTCCATACTGAATAGAAACATGTTTCCATATGAGGGCTAGAGCAGAATCTTCTTATCCATTTATCTGGGCTTTTGTGAGGTTGCCTATCTGAATTGCTAAACCACATAGTTTTATAATAGATTCAAATCAAAGTGGTCTCTCCTCGCATGTCAAAGGCAGAATGCAGGGTTCTGTGCCAACACTCTGTTATGCTGATATTATATATGCAGAACATTCACCAGCCCATGATAATGTATTGCACAAATAATTAAAACTCAAGTCCCATTGCCAGAATGGGTGAACCAGAAATGTTTCATGATACCTTAGCCTTGCTTGCTTCGGGTCTTTACCACATTCAGAAACTTACCAGGGCTTTCTGCCATGAATGCAAACCAGAGAGATTGTATTGTGAATTCTCCAAAGAAGAGAGCACAGGGACTACATACTCTCTTCTGCCCTTACTTCCCCTGGCTTGTTTCCTTTTTGTTCTGTCTCTTAACAACTGGTTTCAGCTTTCTCTGCAGTTGCTTATTTTTCTGCATGTTTTACACTGCTGAGGTTCAGAGCTGAATTTCAACTTCCCTTTGACCCTAACTCTGTTGAGATACTGAGTGCCCTCTATTCCTGTGGAATCCAGGTCTGAGCCCTAAGTGTGGGGGAGGGAAAGCAGCCTATGAGATGTGCAGTTTTCTTCCTCAAGGACCCTAACTGGGTCCAGAGTGGAGAGCACTTACAGAACGCAACCCATTGTCTGAACCCGAAACTGGCACTACAGTTTTATAGCGAGGTCTCTAGGCAGCAGTTTTGAAAACCAACCACTGTAAATATGAATTACACATGAAAAGGATATGTTGAAAAGGATTGCTTGGGTTTAACACTTCCCAAACTTTTAGATTTAGTTTTAGGGCTTTTTTTTGGAGGGGATTAAAAAAGCACCTCATTCAGCCAGATTGATTCTTGCTGCTTCAAGTGGAAATTATTTCAAGTTATTGCCTTACTGCTGGAAAATGGACTTGGAAAGTAGCTGTGAACTTGGTTTAGTTCTCCTCTGATGCTTTACTGAGACAGCCATTTACATTTTCAGCCTCCTTTGAAAATGATCCCTTGTGGTACATACCCATGACCCTCCCCGCCTCTGATTGGCTAAATGGAGGCATCGGGAATTGAACTTGCATGACCAGCTCCAGATTTGTAGCACTTAAGTGAAGGGATGTAATTAACAGAATTGGTTGAATAATTATAAAAGAGAAACAGTAGCCCCCTTTTTCCTCTTTGCAACTCATTTGCAAGCAGACTTTAGCTCTGATACTAAACTGATATATACTGGTGTAACTCTATTGAACTGATGCTATTTGGGGATTGGTGTGCTGTTTGTTTATGAAGAATAGTTTATCCAAACAAACATTAGTGCATGCTAAAGAGTGACATTTATTCAGAGTGCTCTTACAATAATTTACCATTTTGTTTTGTACATATTATTTTGCTCATTTTAATAATTGACCCGTTTTCCTTTTGTAATCTTATCAGCATCTCAATGCACTGTTGTCTCAGAAGACAAAAAAAGTTGTTCTGATTTACATCAATATAGGGATGACTAGAAGTTCTTGGGCCAGTAGTATATTAACATCTTGATGGACTTGTAGTGGGGGAATATTCCATCAGACTCTGGCCTGTGTAGAGGTCACTGGGTCTTTCAGTGGATAGAATAGTGTATATAAACCATTGGCAGATCGCATGCAGTGCCTATTCCAACCACCAGATGGATTTGACTGCTGTATTTTAACCTGTGTGTGATAGGTGACAGACTCTAAAAGCCTGCACCATCTGTTAAATGATCCTTTTATCAGCAGCTTGAAGTCAGCATGAAGGTACTGTGTAATTTGTGTTGAATCCTACTAGCAGTTATAGTTTTTATCTCTCCCCAGTCTGTAAGGAGTGGAGTATATTTCTCTGAAGCAGAAAAAACTAGATCTGGAAAAAGGAAGGCCCTGCAGGGAAAATCTCAGGACTAGCCAAACTTGGGGAGAAAGGTTAGGCTGAGTCTTGTGTGGGGGCTGTTGGCAAAGCCAGATCCCATGACTGGTGTAAATCTGAACTACACAGAGTATGCGTATGTTCTATTCTGAGCAGGGTGAGTAAAGAGCTTACACAATGTTCCAGCAAAGTCACGAATCTAAACCCACAAAAGCAAAAGCAGCTTCAAGCAAAAGCAAAAAAATCCAAACTGACACATGAGCCTGTAATGGCATTGGGGGAGGGGCAGCTGGGATTATCATTTTAATACTAGCCTGATCAAAACTTGCAAAACTGCAGAAGATGAACATTATTTATTCTAGGTCCTGACAGGCTAATTTGTATATGTTTATTTTGATAAACTGATATTGTGCAACTTTGTTAATAACTGCACTACATCATGTCTTACTTTTTGTTTGTTTGTTTCTTTTAAAAGATTACTAAATAAGATGCACAACAAGTGATTTTTCTCCAGCGCTTAGTGGGTTTTTTCCTACTTCTCTCAGCTTAGGGAGTATGAGATCAGAGTAGGAATTGAACCCATCTGTATCTTTAAGTGCCCTAACTGAATTCAATTCAGTGGGTGAACAATTGAAAAAGAAAACAAAATGACATCCCTGCTCAAAGTTTACATACCAAATTTCCACTGAAGCAAATGGGCTCTCAGTAGAAATGCTGACAGGCTCATAAGGATAGCATTATGTCAAGCTGATTTACTGCCATATGGGTTCTTCTATGACACCTGGCTAAACCTAAGTATTACAAACAGCAAGAAGACTGCAAAAACAGTACCATGCCTGAGAAGCTTTAGAAGCTCGGAATTTATGGTATAAAAGATTCTGCCACTCCTCCCCCCCATTCTGTTGTGTGCATCCTTAACAGATTTATGAGCCACTGTAGCATTACCATTAATGATACTTCTTTGAGACCACTACTGGGCATAATGGCAGCATCTGCTATTGAAGTTGCAGTGTTTGATTTGCAAAGGTGAGTGCACAAGTTGCTCTCCTCTGATGCTACAATGGAGAGGAGACTTTTGAGGGAATAAGCCCTCATGTATGTTGTGAGATTCATCTGCTTTGGAGAACTACTTAGGGTCCAGAATAAAGCCTAATAAAGGGTTGTAAGTATGCCATCCATTTCATTTCGTTTTAAGCAGATCTCTCTGACTTCGTTGCGGTGACATAAACCAGATCTATTTTATGAGAAACGGGATCAGCCAGTTCCTAGTCATTCACTGGTTTACAGGTGGATCACAGATCGGGAGGTTTGCTTTCCAAAGAAATAACCGGCATTGTCATGGCACTGTGTGAATCCACGCTAATGTAAGTCCTGTTTCCTTTTGACAGATCAGATAACAAAAGAAGATCTCGAACGAGTGCTGCAAAAGTTCAAGGGGGATATTATGCAAGTTCCTCCACTGTAAGTTCTGTAGTAGCCAGGCACTGCCAGTAGCATTCCTCCACTTGGAGCACTTCTCTGCAGAAGCCAGTTTGGCCATAAATAAAGAGTTTTCTTTTTTGGCAAGAAGAAGATATAGGCAAGGCAAGTGCACCTTTTGGATGGGCTAGAATTTGCTTCATTGCCCTTATTCTCATGCCTAAAAACACATGCCAACTCAGAATTTTCCCCTTGAGGATTGTCAGCAAGAATTGTCCAGGGTCAACCTCCCCACAATCAAGTAAAAAGTGGGAAAAAAAGAATGAGTTTAATTCTTCAGTACCAACTTTCTAAAATGTTATAGTAAAGAAACAATAATAATGCCTTAATTTGTACAACATAACATGGCCGCTTCAGAATATGCATACATGATCTTCCCATAAACAAATCAAATCTGAACTTGTCAATCCCTACAGAAACAAGGTGCAAAGTGTAATTCAGGTTAAATTTCCTGAGTCTCAGTTACAGTCTTTGACCACCAAAATGTATAAAGTCTGCTGAGCCAAAAGCACTGCCACAACCTCTTCACTTCACTTGCTTGCAGAAAACTCCAGCTGGAATCCATGCAGATCTTCCTTCCCTTCTGCTAGTCAAAAACCGCTCAGTTTAAGTATAAAAACAAAAACCCTGTGGCATGAAAAATGTAAAACTATAAAAAAAAGATGGTGAATTGTACAACTTGAGACTCTCAGAGGGGTAGTCATGTTAGTCTGTAACTTTAAAAACATTATATGTCATTATATATAAAATATCATGAGCAAAATCCACTTTTTCAGATGAGCTGGAGACAATTTCACTAAAACGGTTTGGTTAAAATCAAGCAGTCTGCCAAGTATACAATTAAAATGAAAGAAATAAGTTTTCCCTTCCAGTTTCTCCTTTCTGTAATTAACACTGCCAGCGTTTCCCTGTTGGAGGGTTACCAGTATCATTAACCT